GGGGGGGCGGGGGGGGGGGGCGGCGGGGGGGGGGCGGGTGGTTGTTCTCTCACCTTCTGTCCTTCGATGGTCTTGCTGCCATGTGATGCTGCTCCTCCTCATCCAGAACTCTGTCTCCGTCCAGATCATACTTCGCAAACACCGTCTCGATCTCAGCATCGGCATAACCACGACTACGCAACAACGTAACCAACAACGTAAGTCACAAACGTTTGCCAACAATGTAAGTCCACACGTTGCCAACAATTTGCTTAAGTCACAACGTTGCCAACAATGTAAGTCACAACGTTGCCAACAACGTAAGTCACAACGTTGCCACAACGAAGTCACAACGTTGCCAAATGTAAGTCACAACGTTGCCAACAATGTAAGTCACAACGTTGCCAACAACGTAAGTCACAACGTTGCCAACAATGTAAGTCACAACGTTGCCAACAACGTAAGTTCTACAACGTTTAGCCAAACAATGTAAGTCACAACGTTGCCAAAACAATGTAAGTTCACAACAGTTAGCCAATCAAACGTAAGTCACAACTGTTGCAACAATGTAAGTCACAACGTTGCCAACAATGTAACCAACAACGTTGCCAACAATATAGACTGCATCTCACGCTCGCTGTGAGTGCAAAACATCTAACGTTCATTCGAGATAAGTGAAGCGAGATATATGTACGCCCAATGATAGAACGGGAGCGGTGGGTGTGGCCCGCGATACGACCAATGATAGAACGGATGTGGCAGTGGGCGTGGCGGCGGGCGTGGCAGCGGGCGCCGCCCCCTCGCACGCGCGCGTGACTCACGCCTTCAGCTCCTGCCGCCACTCCTCGAAGTCCAGCTTCTGGTCGGCGTTGATGTCGGCCGCCTGCAGCGCCTTCTGAATGTCCATGATCTTCTCCTTCTTGATGTTCATCTTCGACAGCATCTTGCTGTAACCCTGACGACGGAGGAGATCGAGAGATAGAGAGATGAAGCCATGTGAAGCGTACAGGCTGACGAGGACACGGTGGAGATACTGGATGACAGAGAGGGAGACAGAGAGGGAGACAGAAATAGAGGGAGACAGAGAGAAGGGGAGACAGAAATAGGGGAAAACAAAGAGAGGGGGAGAAAGAGAGAAGGGGAGACAAAGAGAGGGGGAGACAGAGAGAAGGGGAGACAGAGAGAAGGGGAGACAAAGAGAGGGGGAGACAGAGAAAATGGGAGACAAAGAGAGGCGAGACAGACAGAAATAGGGGGAAACAAAGAGAGGGGGAGACAGAGAGAAGGCGAGACAGACAGAAATAGGGGGAAACAAAGAGAGGGGGAGACAGAGAGAAGGGGAGACAGAAATAGGGGGAAACAAAGAGAGGGGGAGACAGAGAGAAGGGGAGACAGAAATAGGGGGAAACAAAGAGAGGGAGAAACAAAGAGAGGGGGAGACAGAGAGACGGGCAAAACATCCTTACCAACATCAAATTACATCAATTAATAAAATCCACCAAACTGAATTCCCAGTAACAAGTGAACGTCGAAGCAAAGCGAGGCGCGTGTAGAGGGCGCCGGGGTAGCGACTCACCCGTTTGAAGTAGTCGGTGAGTTCGAATTCGTTCTTCTGCTCGGCAATCTCCGCCTTCACCTCGGCGTACGTGTCGTTGATGATGGCCAGGAACATGTTCTGCAAGCAGCCACACACACACAGTCAGTCACAGTCACAGTCACAGTCACAGCTGTGCGCTGTGGGCTTGCTTGTGACTGTGACTCGTGACTGTTGACCTGTGACTGTGAGCTGTGAACTGTGACTGTGACTGTGACTGTGACTGTGCCTGACTGTGCGTGTGCTGCTTGTGACTGTGACTGTGACTGACTGTGCTGTGTGGCTGCTTGTGACCTGTGACTGTGACTTGTGACTGTGAGCTGACTGTGCGTGTGGCTGCTTGTGAACTGCTCGAGCTGTGACTGTGAGCTGTGACATGTTGACTGACTGTGTGTGTGGCTGCTTGTGACTGTGGACTAGTGACTGTGACTGTGACTGAGTGAGCTGTGTGTGTGACTGTGACTGTGACTTGATGACTGTGCACTGTGACTGTGGCACTGTGACTGTGACTGTGATTTCTTGTGTGTGTGACTGTGAACTGTGACCTGTGAGCTGTGACTGTGATGGTGAACTGTGACTGTGACTGTGACCTGTGGACTGTGACTTCGTGACATGTGACTGTGACTGTGACTGTGCACTGTGACTGTGGCTGACTGCTGCATGTGCTGCTTGTGACTGTGACTGTGACTGTGACTGTGACTGTGGGTGTGAGATGTGAGCTGTGAACTGTGACTGTGACTGTAGAGCTCGTGACGTGTGACTGTCTGTCTGAGCTGTGTGTGTGTGACTGTGAGCTGTGTCTGACTCGTGTGTGTGTGAACTGTGACTGTGTCTGACTGTGTGTCTGAACTGTGAACTGTTGTCCTGACTGTTGATGTGTGTGACTGATGACATAGTGTCTGACTGTGTGTGTGTGACTGTGACTGTGACTTGTGTCGACTGTTGTGTGTGTGACTGTGAGCTGTGACTGTGACCTGTGACTGACTGTGAGCTGTGACTGTGTCTGACTGTGTGTGTGTGACTGTGACTGTGACTGTGACTGTGTCTGTGACTGTGACTGTGACTGTGACTGTGACTGACTGTGACTGAGCTGGTGACTGTGGACTGTGTCTGTGGGCTGTGAGTGTACCTGTGAACTGTCGACCGTCGACCGTGCGCGTTCACGACCGTAAGGCTGTGACTGTGACTGTGACTGTGACTGACTGTGTGTGTGTGACCATCCGTGACGTGTGTCTGACTGTGTGTGTGTGACTGTAACTGTGACTGTGGTTGTGNGTCACATCACAGTCACAGTCACATTCACAGTCACACACACAGTCAGACAGCTCAGCTAAAACCCTACACACAGGCAGTTGCACAGTGCAGACACACGCATGCACAGACGCACACACACACACACAGACGCACACACACACACAGTCACACACACACACACACACACACACACGCATGCACGCATGCACGCACACACACACATGCACACATACACGCACGCACACACACTCACACAGTCACACACACACACACACACACGCACACACGCCAATGCACGCACACACCTCACGACAGTCAGCACATGACACACCACAGTCACCCACACAACACACGCATGCACGCATGCACGCACACACACACCACACATTCACACACAGTTACTCAGACACCAAACATGACATCCACGTAGTTTACACTGGGGAAAATACACCTCGGGGCGATTTAGCCCCCGAAATGCCAAAAAGAACACCGTAAATTTGCATAGAGTTTCAAGTGCAAAACCAAATTTAGAGTGCTATTTTCATGCACAGCGAGCTTGAAAAGTAGCCCCCGACAAAAATACATTTTACGAATTTTTTCCCTGCAGCGTAGGCACACATCGTCGCGAGGGAGCGAGGGAGCGAAGGAGCGAGGGAGCGACACGCACCAGCAGCACGAAGAAGACGAAGAAGACGTAGAAGATGAAGTAGATTGGACCCGAGCACAGCGGTTAGCAGCCTCAGCTGGCTGGAAAATCAAAGTCTCCGAGGATGATGCGGATCAGAGTCATCCTGGAAAGCAGCAACGACAAAAAATCAATTAATAAATTAATGAAATAATAATTATTTAATATTAATTAATAAATAATAATGATTTAATATTAATTTAATAAAATAATAATTATTTAATATTAATTAATAAAATTAATTAATTATTCATCTGCGTGTGTGTTCCTTCATTAAGCTCTCTCCGGCAAAACCGGAAGATGCTAACGACGTGTGATCACGATGCTAGAACTGATAGAATGTGAATCAACGTAGTACGTAGAACAAAACGCTGGATTGCGATCGTTTTATGTTTTATGTACTTCTCGTCTCGTCCTCCCTTTCTCTCATCTTCTCATTTCCGCCTCCTCCTTCGGCTCGTTCTCTCTCTCTCTTCCTCGGTTCTCGTCTCTCTCTCTCTCTCTCTCTCCTCTCTCTCTCTCTCTCTTCTCTCTCTGCTCCTCTCTCTCTCTCTCTCTCCTCTCTTCGTCTCCCCTCTGTCTCAGCCTTCTCTCTCGATCTCATCGACTCGATCCGCGTCTCATCATCTCAACTCCTCCTCATCTTCGATCCTCGCGTCTCTCTCTCTCTCTCTCTTCTACCCCTCTCCTCGTCGTCTGCTCGTCTTCTACTCTCGGTCGTCTCGGTCGGTTCCTCGGTCGTCTCTTCTCCTCTCGTCTCTCTCTCTCTCTCGTCCGTCGGGTCCTCTCTAGTCTCGTCGGGGATCGGGCTCTTCTCTCGGGGTCGCTCCTGGCTCTCTCTCATCCATCCCTCTCTCTCTTCACTCCTTTCTCCTCTCGTTCTCGATCTTCATCTGTCTGTCTCTTGCTCTCTCTTCTCCTGTCTCCTCTCATCTCGGTCTCTCGCCCTCATCTTCTCTCTCTCTCCTCGTCTCTCTCCTGCTCTCTCTCTCTCTCTCCGTCTCCTTCTCATCTCGTGCCTCAGCGCTCTCTCTCTCTCTCCTCTCTCTCTCTCTCTCTCTCTCATCTCCTTCTCGGTCTCTCTCTCTCGTCGGTCCCTCTCCTCTCCATCAGGTCTCTTCTCACTCTTCTCTCTCTCTCATCTTCTCTTCGTTCTTCATCTCTCTCATCTCTCTGTCTCTCTCTCATCTTCTCCTCATCGATGATCCGATGTCTGCCTCATCTCTCTCCCCCCCTCTGCTCTCCTCTCCTTCTCTCTCTCTCTTCTCTCTCCCTCCCTCTTCCTCTCCGCTCATCGGATCTCTCGCGCTCTCGTCTCTCTCTCTCCCTCGTCTCCTCTCTCTCTCCTCCGTCTCCTCTCTTCTCTCTCTCTCATCTCTCTCTCTCTGCTCTCTTCTCTCTCAATCTCTCTCTCAATAATCTCTCAAAACGCTCTCTTCTCACTCTCTCTCTCTCATCTCTCTCTCTCCCTCTCTCTCTCTGCTCTCTCTTCATCTCATCTCTCACCACAACTCCTCCTCTCTCAATTCTCAAATTCCACTTAACTCTCTCAGCTAAACAATCTCTCGTCCTCAACAATCAATCTCGCATATACTCTCTTTCTCTCTCCTCCAATCTCCTCTCGATCAATCTCTCAAGTCTCTCCCTCGTCTCTCTCTCTCTCTCTCTCATCTCATCATAAAAACTAGTCTCTAATCTCCTCTCATATCTTCCTTCCCTATTCCTCTCTCCTCTCCTTACCCTCTCTCGCCTCTCTCTCTCTCCCTCCTCTGCCCCCCCCCGGGCGCGCGCGGCCCCGCGCCCCGCCCGCCGCCGCGCGCCGGCCGCGGCGCCGCCGGGCCGCCCCCGCGCCCGCGCCCGCCGCCCCGCGCCGCCCCGCCGCCGCGCCCCGCGCGCGGCGCGCCCCGCGGGCGCGCCCCCGGGCCTCGTCTGCTCTCTCTCTCTCTGCTCTCTCTCTCTGGCGCTTCTCTCTCGCCCTTCTGGGCTCGTGGCTCGTTCGCGGGTCGTCTCGTCGTTCTGCTCTCTCTCTCGGGCTGGGGGGTGCTGGCGGTGCGTCTCTCTCTCGTCTCCCTCTCTCCTCTCCTCTCTCTCTCTTCCTATCCCTTCTTCGTCTCTCTCTCTCTTCTCGCTCATTCTCCCTCTCTGTCCCGGGGGGGGGGTCTCGGGCTCGTGCGGACTCGGGGCGGGTGGGGGGCACTCTTCCTCCTCTCTCTCTCTCTCTTCTCCTCCTCCTCTCTCTCTCTCTCTCTCTCTCATCTCTCTCTCTCTCGTCTCTCTCTCTTCTCTCTCTCTCTCTCTGCCTCCTCTCTCTCTCTCTCTCTCCAACCTCCGACTCTCAACTACTCCCCTCTCTCCACTCTCTCACTCTGCGTTCTTCTCCAACTCTCTCACTCTCTTCTTCTCTCATCATCTCTCTCTGCTCCTCTCTCTTCTCTCTTTCAAACTCGGGGCTTCCACTCTCATCGTCACTCTCACTCTCACTCTCTCTCTCTCTTCTCTCTCCATCTCTCTCCTCTCTCTCTCTCCTCACCCTCTCTCTCTCGAGTAGGACTTAAGCCCCTCTCCTCTCGGGGGGGGCGCTTCACTGCCTCTCTTCTCTCTCCACTCTCTCTCCATATCTCCCATCTCCTCTCTCTCTGCTCTCCCTCTCACGATACCCTTAAGGTCGGGGGGGGGCGGAGCTCCTCGCTCCTCTCTTCCTCTCGTCCTCCTCGTCTCTCTCTCTCTTTTTTTTTGTTTCTCTCTCTCTCTCTCGTCCTCCCCTCACGCCGTCTCCCTCTTCACCCACTCCTTCCTCTCCCCTCCCCCTCCTCTCCTTCCTCTCCCTCTCGCCAACCTACACTTACGTTGCCGTGCCGAACGTACTGAAGTCCTTCACCTGAGTGCCCAAAGATGAACACGATGCAGAACATCACTCCGAACCCAGCGATGTCCTTCGCGCAGCGGCTCAAGGTCGACGACAGCTGCGTCATCGTCTTGTTGAAGCTGATGTACTTGAACACCTGCCGGAGGCGGGGAGAACGGAGGATGAGGGGTCGCCATAGCAACGCACGACCGCGCGAGGGGTCGCCGGTAGCAACGCGCGACCGCGCAAGATCGCGCCAGGATCAGCCGATCACAAAGTCGACACGAAACCCAACATCCAGAATTTTCCAGCGAGAACAAACAACCGCGCGCGCAGGCATTAACGACCACACGAGGGCGCCGGCATCGCACAGGTAGAGGGCGCCACCACCGACCTTGATCCAGGCGAAGAACACCATGATGGCGACGGCGTTGTTGTACTGCGTCTGCCAGAAGCCGAGGAATTCAAAGTCGGCGAAGGTGTCCGGTCCGCCGAGCAAACTCTCGAGTGTTCTACCGACCACCAGGGTGCGGTAGAGGCTGAACGCGATGCAGACGATCGCCAGCTGCAAGACAAGAGAGCGTGCGTTCATGCGTTAGTGCCGGCAGGGGGCGCCGTGAGGAGAGTCGAGGAGGAATCCTTCTCACACTATCGTAGTAATGATGATGACGATGATAATAACAATAAAAATAATAATCATCATATTTATAATAAATATGACACTGATGTGACACTGTTATGACACCGATATGACATAGCAGTCACGTGACGCTGAGTGAGCACTGCAATCCAGCGTCGCGACGCAGCGATGTGACGCTGACGTGACACTGCAATCACGTGACACTGACGTGACACTGCAATCACGTGACACTGACGTGACACTGCAATCACGCGACGCAGCGATGTGACGCTGACGTGACACTGCAATCACGTGACGCAGCGATGTGACGCTGACGTGACACTGCAATCACGTGACGCAGCGATGTGACGCTGACGTGACACTGCAATCACGCG